AACAATAATTTAAAAATACATGGGAATGAGAAAGGATTCGCAGGCAGCAGGGCAACAAGTGGCTTCTGTTTGTTATGCCCTTTCACAGCAAGCTCTGGGCCTGTCCCCCACAGCTGGCCTTCGAAAGCAGCCTTGCAAAAGTCTACTCCCTCAAAGAGCCAGAGTTTGTTTGACAAGCGAGTAAGTTGCTCATCATGAGAAAGGCAGGCTAATTAGTCTTGTCCCTTGGCTGGTAAATTTCATGTGATGAATTGGCCAAGCCTCATTAGGGTTCCAACATTTCGATCAATGGGAACTTGGTTCCTGAGTTCAACGGGCCCTTACAGAGGAATGCACTATGGAAAAAATGACCCCAATTTCTGAACCAAAGATAGTTTTCTGGATAATAGTTATATCCACAAATATTTTCCACTGCAGGAGGTCTAGACAAGCCTTGCAATCTGGTCAGCAGGCTGCCTATATCCAGATAAGTGAAACAGATGCTGTGGTTACAGCCGAGAGATGTCCACACAGCGAGAGAAATGTGCCCCTAGCTGGAATTTCCCCCGGCAGAGAATGGATTTGCACATCACAAGGCATCAGGAAATACACACATCAAAAAGAGAAAGAATCGGGTTTCTCTGTGCAGTTTGGTAAAGAATAGATGTCTCCGCTCTCCTGTATGGTCAAACTTCCCTTCTGCATAACATTGCATCAGTTTAACTAAAGGCACGCATTGATTTAGTTAGTTGGGTTCAGCCACGAATGGACAGTCATACTGGGTGAAGAGTCGATTACATTGGTTTCGTTGAAGTCATACCATAGAATCATAGACCATCAGGGTTGGAAGGGACCTCAGGAGGTCATCTAGTCCAACCCCCTGCTCAAAGCAAAACCACTCCCTGCAGTTTGTCAGTTTGTATCAGGCTTTTGGGCTGCAATAAGTTTAGCTAAAAGTTGATTTGCAACAGACCGTGTGTTACATCAATTTAAGTGAAGTGGATTGATTCCCAACCAACTGCAGCTAAACCGTGCGTAGACCAGCCCCTGCTCCCCATATACCACAGAGACCTATTCTAGAATTTCACAGTCCCACAGACACCTGCAGAACTATACCCCGCCCCCAGTCTAGGAGTCATCCTTAGACAGATCATATTCAATTACCTTGTGCTTCCCCCACCTTAGGCTTAGACTGCAAACTCTTCAGGGCAGGGCGCGTCTTTTCATTGTATTTCTGTACAGTGCCAAGCGCAGTGGGGCCCAGGCCTGGGGCTCCTAGGAGCTATGCAATATGCACAACGGTGGCCAGCCATCTGGCTAGAAAGGCTGCGTGCCTCAGTTTACCAGAGGAAGATTCCAAAGAGCCGTTTTGGAAGGAAACTATTGGCACATGGGCTAAGATCAACCTCCCTGAGGCTGCCAGGGCGGGCGCAGACAGATCTCCCACAGTGTCCCACACTCCCCACTGTCCCCATCCAGCGCAGTGATTCTCAGCCAGGGGTCTGCAGCCCCCTGGGAGCGGGGGGTCCATGAGCCCTTTCAGGGGGGCTGTGGAGCCCCACGGCTGAAACCCGGAGCCCCCAGCTCCGGCACTCCCCACAGCCAGAAGCTGTGAACCCCATGGGTAGAGTTGCAGGGGGCACGAGGCTGTAGCTCCCGAAACTGCCGTGCCTTCCCCAGAGGGGGGCAGTCCAGGGTCAGCTCCGCCCCCGCCTCCTCCTCTCCCCCAGGCCCAGCCCTCTGGCCAGGTGGTAGGTGGGAAGCCAGAGCCGGGCAATGTGGGGCAGCTGCTCCTCTGCTTGGTGGTGCCATGGAGCGGGCAGCCACAGCATTCCTCCCTCTGCTGCTGGTACCCAGGGTAGCGGCTGCTCCTCAGCTCCCAGCCCCCTTTGCTCACGCAACCAGTAAGAGCCGCCCGGGTGAGAGACCCAGCTCCGGTGCCAGCGGAGCCCTTGGGGAGCAGCCATCGCAGGGGGAGCCCTCCTGGCACACAGCCCCCAGCTACCCCGTCTGCACCCTGAGCTACCCCCCCGCCTTCACTCAGCCCCTAGCTACCCCCTCCCTGCACCCTGAGCTACCCCCCCGCCCGCACACAGCCCCTCGCTACCCCCTCCCTGCACCCTGAGCTACCCCCCCGCCCGCACACAGCCCCTCGCTACCCCCTCCCTGCACCCTGAGCTACCCCCCCCGCCCGCACACAGCCCCTCGCTACCCCGTCTGCACCCTGAGCTACCCCCCCCGCCTTCACTCAGCCCCTAGCTACCCCCTCCCTGCACCCTGAGCTACCCCCCTCCCGCACACAGCCCCTACCTACCCCCTCCCTGCACCCTGAGCTACCCCCCCCGCCCGCACACAGCCCCTAGCTACCCCCTCCCTGCACTCTGAGCTACCCCCCCTACCCACACACAGCCCCTCGCTACCCCCTCCCTGCACCCTGAGCTACCCCCCTACCCACACACAGCCCCTCGCTACCCCCTCCCTGCACCCTGAGCTACCCCCCGCCCTCACACAGCCCCTAGTTACCCCCTCCCTGCACCCTGAGCTACCCCCCGCCCTCACACAGCCCCTAGTTACCCCCTCCCTGCACCCTGAGCTATCCCCCCGCCCGCACACAGCCCCTAGCTACCCCCTCCCTGCACCCTGAGCTACCCCCCTGCCTTCACTCAGCCCCTAGCTACCCCCTCCCTGCACTCTGAGCTACCCCCCCCCCCGCACACAGCCCCTAGCTACCCCCTCCCTGCACTCTGAGCTCCCCCCTGCCCGCACACAGCCCCTAGCTCCCCACTCCCTGCACCCTGAGCTCCCCCCTGCCTTCACTCAGCCCCTAGCCCCCCCATACCCTCAGCTCCCTCCTGCCTGCATGGAGTTCTCCCCCCCCCCCCGCACCCTGACCTGTTTTCAAACTCTTTGAGCTGAGTCCCCCCACAACCCAGAGAGGCTGGGTGACCTGCTGAGCTGAGTCGGGGGGCAGGGGTGGTGCTCCCTTCCTGGTCCCTGCCACGCGGAGCTGACCCGACGCCTGTGCCCAAGGGTCCCCCCCCCGCCCGGGCCCTGGAGTTTTTCATAGCATGTAGAGGGGGGCTCCGAAAGAAAGAGGCTGAGAACCCCAGCAGGAGGGTGAACCGGCCTTTTCCTGCCCTAGCAACAGAGTTTATCTGGCGCCCCACGCCAGTGTTGGCACCCCGCCCCCCCCGTTAAAGCGACAGTCACACGCTCACATGGCCTGGAACGGGGGGGCAGGCTTAGGCCTGCGGTTTGAGGTGGGGGTCAGCGTGTGAAGTCCCCGGGTAGTTCTAACAAGGCAGCGTTCACACCCGGCTCTGTTCCATTTGGATCTTTCCCCATTTCGTGCGGCAAAGGCCAGTCACCAAAGACACACAACGGCAGTTCCCCACGCCCGCCCGCTCCCTCCACCCTGGCCGGGAACCAGGTGCACAGGGCGCCACGGCTAGACCACGGCACGCCAGCCGCAGTTAAACAGCAGGGGGTGCTCTCATGCCACCAGTCAATGCGGGGTGCAGTCCTCTAGGGGTGCTGCTTCGCCAAGCCAGAGGGAAAAGGGTGGGGGGAACTGCCCCTCTCAATTTAACCCCTGCACGTCCCGTTTTAAGTTCAGCCCGGGCCCGGCTTTCACGCTTCGTTGCGCAGCTGGGAAGGCGGCGAGAGGCCCCCCCAAAAGCCTGCGCTCCCCGGCACCAGTCACTGCCGCGCTCTACACCAGCCGGGATACTGGGCTGACTGGGCACCAGTTGTGCTGGGCACTGCACAAACCGACAACAGAGCGACAGACCCTGACTGCAAAGGGCTCACTCACCGCAGGAGCCGGGGGCGGCGTCACGGCTCCCTCCCTGTAGGGTGTCCCCCCCGACGACGGTCGTTCCGGTACCGTGGTGGCCTCTCTTCCCGCCGGCCAGGTGACGACATTGGTCTGCCCCTTTCGGGGTAACCAAGTTCAACAAACAAAAGTCCGACAAGTAATTCCTAGGCGTCATGTCTGGTCTCCGGCCCGCACTCTGGGCTCACGCCTCTTTGGGCAGTGGCTGGTAGGGAAGCCAGGCCCTCCCTCTACGCAGGCTTCCAGCCCAGGGAGCCTATAACCAACAGCCACCGTCTGCCCCATCCCTGTCCTTGCTGCTGTTTCCCTGGGCTCCTTCCTACCCAGCCTCCCTTCCTCACAACTTCTCGGGGTTGGCCCTTCTTCCAGGGCTAGATTCAGAGTTTCCTCACCCCTGGGTTTCCTCCTCACCACTTCTCTGTTCCCAGATAGTAGCTGCAGACACCCCCCTTCATAGCTCCCTTCAGCTACAAACTTCTCCTTGGACAAGCCAGGCTGTTTCTGCCCAGCTGGGCCTCATGATCAATTGAGCCTGGATCTGCCGCCAGGTGCAGCCCGCTAACAGAATTGGCCTCACAGCCACATTTAACCCACGCATAGCCTGCGTCAGGTACCACCATCCCACCAACACACAGAGCGGGCAGCGTTAAGTGCTGCTCCCCTTCCGCATAGCACTACCGCTAGGCAGTGGTTTGCAAGGATTTAATATTACTATGACATTTGTTTTATAGGAAAAAAATGATGGATCTTTTGCCATTTTTCCAACCAGCTTGGCATATCGCTGCCTCTCTCTGCCGCAGTTTGCCCACCTGTACAATGAGGGATAATACGCACACATCTGAGGCTAGCTGCAAAACATTTTGAGGATTAAGAGCCTGGTAAACACGTCTATCGTTCTTTACAGATTGATTAGTTTGTACTTTTATTATTTGATTCTATTTTTGAATTGACAAATTCTAATTTTCTCAGCAGTGGTTTGACTGTTTCCAAAGCCACATTGGCTACAGATGTTCCTATTATCCAGAAGGCAGTGCTAAATGTGACCTTTGAACCGCTTTGAAAGTTGACGTATGGATAAGTACTGGGCTGCTGGCCTGGCTTCTTTCACTGACACTGCAGTCTCTCTCGCTCACACACACACTCAAACACACAGTGTAAAAGAAAAATGAAACTTGGCCACCAAACGCCTTTTTTAGGGTTTTATCCACAAATGAAGTTCTTTGTTTTGCCTTTTTCAAGCATATGTTTCCTTCTTCAGACCAGATTTTTTTTTTTAAACTGCAATCTAGATTTACAATACATACAATCTAGACAGTAAGGGATAATCAGCACATCTTGCAGATTTACCTATGTACAGTCTTTGGAGCAAGAATTCTTTTATTAAAAAAACTCTTTTCAAAAAGTCTTTACAATAGAACCATGGTGCAATACATCAGTCATCTTCGGAGGCAACTGGGATTCTGAGATCGCTCGCGCTCCAAAGACCAGTGAGCATGACAGAGTTTAGAGTTGACCGATACTGTACAGTAAATATTTCAATGTTCCGCCCCCAGGGGGTCAGGTCTAGACACACAGGCATCACCCATCCCAAGTTCGGGAACAGCTCCACCAGACCCAGGGAGGACCACACTGTGGTACATGGGGTATGGTACATGGGGCTCGGAGAGCAGGGGCAGAAGTCGTCTATCATGATTTCCTTCTACATCTCCCTCTCCCCTTCCACACCTCCCTCCACCTAAAAAACCTATGAAATGCCAAAAGCTTTGGAAACCCAGCAGCAGGGGCCTGCGCTTTCGGAGCAGGGGCACATGGGTTCCACCACTGCCATCACCACGAGGTACCAAGCAGCCATGGTGCGGGGCACCGAGACACCAGGGACAAGTCCGAAGAGGCAGCTGAGAAATCTCCCGCCACCCTTCAGAGCTTGACAGAGGGAGCTGGCGGGGCTCCCATTCCTTGCCTGCCTGAGCATGGCATTCAGCAGCACTGTGCAGTACCCAGCAGTGGGTGTACTGTAGGAAGGAGAGTGGGGATGTTCTGCTGAGACCACAAGCCCTGTGGAACGGGGACCATTCTCATACGTGTCCACACAGTGCCCGCTGTGCTGGAGGGGTACGGGCCCTGCAGAGGGCAGCTACAGCCATTGGGCTACCGTAGTCACCCTGCAGCCATTCCACGGTGAAGGGAGGGCGGAGCTCTTCTCCCCACCTAGCAATACCCAGCGCCCAGCCCCATTTTCACCCTGGTCCCTGCATCAGCCCCCACCTACCCCTTCTTGTCCCCAGTACACCCAGTGCTCAGCCACCTCCTCTGCGTTGGCCCCCTGGACAGGGGCTCTTGGAGCAGGAGCCCATGGGTGGGGTTCCGGACGAGGCGGGGGCAGGACACACACAATACCCTGGGCATCCAGCACTGCGCCCATTGGACAGGCTGGGCTTCCAGGCAGGGATTTCATGGCTTCTCTCAGCAGGCGATAGCCGGCTGCTGCGAGTACTGAGAACCAAGCAGCCCTGGGACATGTATGTATACATACACACCCCCCTACAGCAGGGGCAACTGGGACGGACACACACACACACACACACACCCTCCAGCAGGGGGCAGCAGGGATGGACACAACACACACACACGCTCCTTCCCTAGCCATGCCCCCTAGTGGTACAAGCCATCTGACACGTGCCCAACTGTGCTACAAGGGAGAAGGGGTGCAGTGGCAGGAAGAGCTTTGGGCCCTAATCCAGCACTTGCTAAATCAACGGGAGTCCATGAGTGCGGTTAGATGGTTAGTGATGAAGTCAAAACCCTACAGACACCCGAGGGACAAAGCTGCTACCCCAAGCCTGTGCCACTATGGAGGATAAGAGGGGGCTGGGTACTTGCTCTGTATTGGAGCTGGGTTAGGAGGGAGTATCCCCAAAGGTCACTCCCCCTTCAGGCAAAGCAGAAGGATGATACAGTTTCAACCCCACGGCTCCTTACCCACCCCACAGGGCAGTTCAATGAAAACAACATTACTTCTCGGATAAATAATCATTTAAATTAGTTCGTTAAATTAACTAGCATTGAGCCACAGCACTGCCTGCTCAGGAGACTCATTTCTGCTCTGTCCCACCAAGTCCAAGACCCTTTGGGTCAACACCTTGAAGAAGAACATTTCCCCCTATTCTCACTCACCCCAAAGAGAGATCTGGGCTTTCGCAGCATGCCTGCCCCCAACCCCGCCTCAGGATCTAAAAGACCAGCTCCCAGGAAACGTGTGCCCAGAGCCCGATAGTTGGCAATCTCGGCAGAGAGGAGACAGCTTGGAGGGCGGGCTATGGAGACTCACCTCCTGTCTGAGCCCTGCAAGTTTAGGGCTAAGACACGTTGGCTGGGAGCAGGGTGCAGTCCAACAGCCTGTGTGGTACCCAATGGGTGGTGGGTGTCATAGGCCAACGGAAGCTAAGCCTCCCCTAACCCAGGCCATGGCCCTGCCCACGCTCTGCCCCATGGACGGTGCTCCCCCTCTCCCCGAAGCCGACGGGGGCTCAGCTCGGGCCGGTGAGTCAGGGCGGGTCGGCTGAGGCTCCTCCGGCTGTGGTTGGTGGGGGGGCACGCTTGGGGCTCCAGTGGGCTAGGAGGGGAGCAGGGGGAGGCATAGCCTCCCTGAAGGGGGCGTTCACCCACCGTCCATGGTGGTACCTGTTTTGTGGATAAACTGAGTGCTGCATTCCCCAGGCTGTCGGTCTGGCCCCTTTTCAAAAGGAAAAGGAAACCCTATTTATTCCTACTTCACATCCTCGAGTGCGGCCGAGCGGAGGGCGTCCCCCATCCGATCTCAGCCCCACAGTGGAGGCGGCCCTGGGGACAGCTCATTCCTGGAGCAGCCACGATTCCTCCTCCAAACCAGGGGTCACCTTAGCTCCCCATGCTAGGCCCCCTTACAGAACAGAATTCAAACTCCTCTCCTTCACTGCCCGAGGGCTGCTGGGGGTGAAGCAGGCAGCTGTGCTCTGTCAGCAAAGAATAATTTAATGCTCCCACCACTCTGCCTCTCTGCCCCCACTTTGATCGCCACCTCCCCATTCCCACTGGGAAGCAGCATTGGGGGGGAAGGAGGGTCAGACTAAAACCCCATCAGCAAAATACTGCACGGTTCCCCTCCCCCCCAAATAAACGTTTAAAAAAGGACACCATTACAACTTTCACCTACAGCAGCATTCCCACGCACTGCACCCCCAGAGACAGCCCCCCACCCTGGGAGGAGGGCTGGTGTGGGGGGGGTCAAACCAGCCCAGCTGCCTCATTCGGACTGAGAGCAAACTGATCTGGCGAGCAGTTGACAATTCTTCACCTGTCCAGCGTTCAGTTCAACAGAGCGGCAAACAGCCCCGGTCCCCTACACAGAGCGGGCAGGCTGAAGAGGGGGGTGCAGCAGCAAGCCATGAGGGCCCATCCCACGGGGGCACCCTCTGCGCTGCCCTAAAAGTCGGCAAGTCAGCGATGGCTTGGCCGCAAAGGGATCCAGCCACCCCACAACTGTAAGGATTTCGGATGCTCTGCTTCTGAGCCTTGACACGACGTGGCCGAAAGCCAAGTCAGCCTGGCCAAGGGGGACTCTGCAGCCCTCTCCCCCTCTGCCCACTTTCTCCAGGACCAGCGCTGTCCCCAGCAGCCAGCCCTCACCACGAGCAAGGGGCCCATTCGGGGCCCTGTGGCGAAGCAGCGGTATCTCCGGCCCGGTGGATGTTGAGACACGCTGGGCGACAGGCAGCCAAGGCGAAGGCCAAGGCAATGCGGGGAAATTCCAGTCCACATCCCATCAGAAGTGCGTAAGGTTCTTGACGATGCCTAATTCAAGCATCCTTTTTATTGCTAATGCCTCGTGCGAGACATTGTGCTCCGATGCCTGCGAAACAGACAAAAGAGAGCTCATCAGATGCCGCTCCACCCAGCCCTGTTGCGGTTCGCCCTTTGTGATACTCAGGGGGGTGGGGGGAGCTGCAGCTTTAAAAAGGGACTGTCATTGTTTTAAGAGTTTAGTATTTAATGCCTACAACCGCAAAGTAGCATTTCAGGAATCCACAGAATAAACCACTCGGCCTCACTGAACCCACTGATAAAATGGGTCCGTTGGTAATTAGCCACCTTGGAGATAAGAAAGCTTGGAAGCTTGGTCAGCAAGAAAAGGGATTGTTCATTTTGCATTGATTCAACAGTGAAACAGGCCGGTGTCTCCTCCTTTATCTACTAAGCTGCTCACAGACTAAATTCTGGGCTGGGGAAATCTTTGCTGTTGTATTTACAACCCCACGAATTCTATCAGGTTGGCAGTGTTTGCAGAGGTTAGTCCCACCGGGAAAGGGGTAAGTGGATTTGGCTGACTCCCTGAGGCAGATAACTCCTATCTAGAGGGGGTAGTAAGGGAGCTCTCTCAGGATGAAGGATCTAGGGTGTGAGCTGAGCAGCCCTGAAGGAGGAGCCCTAGGAGCAGCCCAGTGTGGAGAGATGTTTTGAGCTGAGCTGTGTATTAGGTCATTGCTAATGTCTGTGCTCATCAAGCCAAAGGAAGGAGGCAAGTTTGCACTTTACGCAGCACAGGGACTGTGTGCAAAAACACTTGCTCCGAGGCTTTTACACAGACTTGTTCTGAGAATTTGTGTTTTATGTAACACGTGCCAGCTGGGGAACGATGTGGGCTTTCTTGTCTGTGCCACAGGAAACTCACGTCCAATAACTCACCACTGAGATTCAGCCTGGCTTCACGTTGCACTTGTGCTTTAGATCAGTGGTTCTCAACCTTTATGGGCTCAGGACCCATCTGTAAATGTTTATGGCCTGTCACGAGCCAGTAAATAGTCTGGGGGTGGAGGCCCTGAGCTGGTTTTGGTCAGGTCCTGCCCCGCACTCACCCCACAGTGGCAGCTCCTGCATCTCCTGTGCTATGGGGCTGGCTGGGCTTGGCTCTCCCCTCTGGGTGCTGCAACCTGTGGGGTTGCAACGCCGCTCTGGTTTGGCCCCATCTCCCTGACTGGACCAAATTTGTGCAAGTGGAGTTGTGACCCGGTTCAAGGGGTCGCAGTGCCACTCACTCAGTTTTGGCCTACCTGGGCTCCCATCATCAAGACAGCTGGGCCAAACCTGAGTGGTGCTGGGACCCCAGAGGCTGCAGTGCCTGGAGTGAAGAGGTGAGACCAGCCAGCCCCGTGGGACAGGAGCCGCAGGAGCTGCCATGTGATCCTTTGAAACATTCTGGTGACCCAATTTTGGGTCCTGACCCATGGGTTGAGAAACCCTGCTTTAGATGACACCATCTCTCTGGTGTCACTGGCAATTTATTAATTGTATTGCAGTAGCATCTCAGAGCACCAGTCATGGACCTAGACCCCAGTGTGCAAGGTGCTGTACAGACAGAATGAAAAGATGGTTCTTGTCCCAAGGATATGGCAAGCTAGGTGTTCTGCTGTCTGTACAGGGCCTAACACATGGCAGGCCCTGATCTTTGCTTACTGTTCCTAGACACTAGCATAATACAGATAGTGCTACTACCTAGAGTATTTCCTAGGTATCCCCTCTACTTACTCTGGGGAATACTCCAAATGCCAAGGGAATGGAAGAGTTTTTATGGATCATCACTGTCATATGCACCACTGCTCTCTTCTGGATGGAATGCATCAAAGCTATTTATGGGTATGATCATGGATAGTGCCCACAGCACATGAAGGGACTGTGTAACCCCTAGTTCTATTACATACCGAATCCAGACAGCTTACCGCTTATACGTTAATAACACAGTTTCCTCTGGTGACGTTTGTAAAGCCCAGAGATTCACACAGGAAAGTAACAGCAAACCATGATCACCACCAGAGGGGAAAGAGTGCGGTCACTTACGGCCATTGATTTAAGTGTGATTTGCTCGTAGTAGTGTATAGTCTGTTTCTTATTGGCAGAATTGGGGTACCCAAAGCCTGCGATATGTACCAGGTCACAGAAGTGCAATGCCAAGGTGATGGCTAATAATCCTGTTGTTGGTTTCTAGAGGGAGAGAGATGAAAGAGAGAGTCAGAAGGGCTCAGGGTGATAAAAAAACCCATACATGCTGGGTTCAGTTCAGAGTGGTTTTCTCCTCCCTTCTCTCTTTGGGGTCAGGTCCTGTGTATAACACCGAGGCTTAGTACGCGCGATCATCAGAGCCGTGTGAACACTGGGTCTAGGCTCACCGATGACCATGGTGCCTTGTGATACATGGACGCAATTTGTCATATACGCGTGACTTAGAATGAAGGTTCCCCCCTTAGGAAGGGCAGCTTCTAGCTATAGGGCTGCCGCCATTACAAAGTGGGACTCAGTTTTGTCCTGCATATAATCACCACCTGCCTCATGGGGTACATGATACATGAAGGGGGGGAGACTAGCTCCCTTTGATGGACACCCAGCCAGCCAGTTATCTGTAAAATCCCTCTTGGTCAGTTCTCTGCTTGCTTTACCCGTAAAGGGTTAAAAGGTCCCTCAGGTAAAGAAAAGGGAGCAGGTACCTGACCAAAAGAGCCCATGGGAAGGTAGAACTTTTGAAAATTGGGAAAGAAACTTTCCCTTTGTCTGTTGTTCTCTGGGCTGCAGGGACAGGGAGCAGTAATGCTGCAACCAGCTTTAAGCCAGGTATGATTATAGATTATCAATTCATACCTCAAACCTACTTATCTGGAGCCTCAGATATGGAAGTAAATTAAGGGAATGTCTAGGAAGACGCAATTAGGGTTATTTATTTTATTTCTTATTGGCTTGTGGATCCCCTCTGATGCTTTTGTTTGCTTATAACCTTTAAGCTGAAGCCCCAAGAAAGCTATTTTGGGTGCTTGATTTTTGGAATTGCTCTTTTAAAATCTAGCAAGAGTCTACGTTCCAGATGTATTGTCTTTCTTTTTGTTTTTAATACAATTTACCTTTTTTAAGAACAGAATTGAATTTTTGGTGTCCTGAGAGGTTTGCGCACATGTTTGATTAGCTGGTAGCCACAGCTAATTTCCTTGGTTTTCTTTTTCAGCTCTCCCCGGAGGGGTGAAAGGGCTTGAGGGTACCCCACAGGGGGGAATTCCCAAGAGCTCCTTCCTGGGTTCAAAGGGGTTTTGGGTTTTTTTTTGCATTTGGGTGGCGACAGCGTTTACCCAAGCCAAGGTCAGAGAGAAGCTGTAACCTTGGGAGTGTAATACAAGCCTGGAGTGGCCAGTATTCATTTTTAAAATCCTTGCAGGCCCCCACTTTTGCACTCAGTGTGACAGAGTGGGGATTCAGCCTTGACAGGGTATAAAACATCTGGACTAGACAAGAGAGGGAATATTGGGTCGTGAACTCCAAGACACACATGGATTTTCCAAGTAGCTCCTTGAAAAATCTCCCAATGGGGAGAGCCCCCATGACGGTGTGCCAGGTTGTTAGGATCTGCCATAGATCAAGGCACTGAGAATGGATAGTTGAAGGAAAGCTTATTGCCCATGACTGCAATGCACAGATATCCAAACAGCACTGCTTAAACTCCCAAAGTCCTGTCCCAGCATGCACCAGGCTCAGTGTGAATCTGGGACAAAAATTCTCTTCTTTAGCTGATCCAAAGCCCCAATAAGGAACCTGGAGGGGTGAAGCCTGGGACATTATACCCTCCCCTCCCAAAGTAGCACATGCTGGACGAAATGTGGAGGACAATGGAGACGCTTGCATGGAAATCCATTTATGGGAACAAGGAGAAAGTCATACAAACAGTTTCTCTGGGCGTGGCAACACTAAAGTAGAGCGCACACCTTCCTTCAAACAGCCAGCTGCTCTGGAAGGAGCTTCTCCCCCGGCTAAGTTGGTCGGAGCCATGCTGAGCTGGTCTCAGCTGGAAATGATCTTCCCCTAGCCAAGCTAGTCTGGGGATCTCTCTTTGCAGATCCTTTAGTAAGTTACTTCTACCCTGACCTATAAGATTTCCATGCTTGGGACATTTCCCTCTGCTTGACATGGCTGGGAGGATGTGAGCCTTGATGGAGAGAGACCAGAGAACAGAAGAACAACTTATTGCCCCCTCAGCCAACTTCTATTCGCTTCCAGGGAGAGGAAGATATTCCTCTCTGGCTGTGGCAGCCCCCCATCCCCGAATGACGCTGTTCCATTTGGACATCTGCTTACCCCGATCCCCCCTCATCGCTAGATTTAGAGTCCCTGCAGCTCTGCACAGGTTTACTCACGCCTCGGTTATACGCTCTTCCACACGTAGAATTCAGCAACATCAACACGAGGTCAATGTATGCCAAAGATTTGCTCCTTGGAAGCAGCTATTTTGAAAAGGGCGTGGGGGCTGTGGGGGATAGTCAATGAACACGAGCTCCCTGTGTGATGCTGTGGCCCAAAGGCCTAATGCGATCTTTGGAAATATAAACGGGGGCATATTGAATAGGAGGGGTTCTATTACCTCTCTGTTTGGCATTGGTGCGACTGCTACTGGAATACTGGGTCCAGTTCTGGTGTCCACCGTTCAACAAGGATGCTGATAAATTGGAGAGGGGTCTGAGAAGAGCCATGGGAAGGATTCAAAGATTGGAAAACCTGCCTTCTAGTGAAACACTCAAGCAGCTCAAATGCTTTCGTTTATCAAAGATAAGGTTAAAAGGTGACTCGAGCACGGTCTGCAACTACCTACGTGGGAAACAGAAATTTGAGAAGAGCAGGCTCTTCACTCTAGCAGACAAAGGTCTCCAGTGGCTGGAAGTTGAAGTTAGACAAATGAAGGCTAGAAATAAGGCAGAGGTTTTTCACACTAAAGGTAATTAAGCATTGGAACAACTGTGGTGGAGTCTCCATCAGGGTACATTTTTAAATCAAGACTGGATGTTTTTCTAGACAATCTGCTGTAGTTCAAACAGCAATGAATTTAGGGCAGTTCTTTGTCCCGGCCTATGCAGGAGGTCAGACTCGATGATCACAGTGGAACCTTTCTAGCCTTACAGTCTATGAAGCTATACGATTATTTGTGAAACACTGACTGGCTCTGGGACATTTAACCCTCTGAACCTCAGTTTCTCGAGCTATAAACGAGGACCCCATCAGATTTCTTGCAGGTCTGGGGGGGCATTTGCTAGTCAATCATTCCCAAGTGTTTTGGAGATGCAAAATGTACGGCATCACAGTGCCACTACGGGAAAGGATGAGAAGAGAATTCCACTCTGAACTCCGCAGACCTTCGCAACTTCCGCCAAACGTCATGGGTTTGTCTGATTTCTCACAAGTGATGGACAACAAGGAAAATCTTTTCAGCTAACACACACACACATACCCTAATAATTAGGCTGCACTGGCCAAACAAACAATAGAAGGATTCAGTGCAGAAAGATCTTCATCCTTGTGCAGAAGCCACTTGCTAGCTTCTCCCTCCAGAAGAGCAGCTCCTCTGCTTTAGACTCCAGCCACAATCAGTTCCCAACCGTGGCCAACTTTCCCCCCAACAAAGCAGTGTGCATATAATCTCAAGGATGCAGGGAAACAGAGGTGAGTGGGTTGCCAGCATCTCCCCCGACCCGGGAGGCCCTGTACTGCGGGTGGATGGATCACCTAGCATTTTATCTACAAAGCACCGTAAGAATCACCCAAGTGGCCTTCACCTTGGTCTCCTCCTGCTTTGGAAAGAGCAGTAATTTTCCAAGCCATGTGGACCCAGCCCTGGGCTACTCAACAAGTTGATGGGGCACAATGGGGAAAAAGGAGGGGGGGCAGTGCAGCGGAATGGCACCATGCCCCCTTAGCAAGTTCCAGTCGGGTCTGCCCTGTGATTTAGATCCAGGGCACCACAAGTCTGCCTTGCTCTCTCTGCCCCCAGCACACCGGCTCCCTTACCTGTTTAATCTTCCGCGGCTGCTTCATGGAAAGATTAAGCAATTTGGCAGCAGTAATTTCCATAAAGTAAGGGTTCAGAATGCGCACTTGCTCAGGATTGGCATCCCAGATTAAAGGGGGCTGCTTCCAGAACCCCTTGCGAACCTGGAAAAGGACAACAGGAAAGTCAGGGGCTATTCTTTCCCCACTAGGGCTGCCCCAGCCTTCCACCCAGCGGCGAGAGCGAAACAAGGCAGAGGAGAGGCCAGACGTGGCCCCCTGCTCTCCCTGCGGCACTTACTCGCTTCTTGTCATTGAGGATCGTCTCCAGCCACTGGAAATCCATGGGTTTAAAGGGCACCAGCACCAGCAGAGTATCCGGGTTGTTTTCCCGCCTGGGGTTGAAGTGTGCGGACTCTGGGTAAAACAGCCGCATGGTGGTTTTGGAGCCCACGTCCGCCTCGTACCCATGAACCGGCGCGTTGTTCAACCTGTGGGGAGGGAGCGCAAGATGAGGAAGGGGATATTTCACACGCGTCCCACTTTCCCCATGACCTGTCCCATTAGCACCTGGCTTCCTGTCCCCAGCAGAGACCCCTTCAGGGATTCGAGCCACCTGCTCGCCACACTTTGACATGATAGATGTTAGGTTAGGGGACAGGATCCTTCAGGAATGAACTCCCCTGGGAAGTAAGGCCCATCCCAAAGCCCCCACCTCCCACTTGGGTGCCAGACGCATTGCTTTGACCTGCCTTCCCTAACAGATCCTGCTGAACGTGAGTGTATATTTCCATAAAACCACCCAAACCCAACCCCTCTCCTGCCAACACATCTCTCCCTGGGACAGGATGAGAGAGCAAACACAGGATAGATGTTAGTCACGTTGCTTAATGCATGATTGCAAGGTGCTCACACACTACAGTGACAAGCATGGCAGAAGGGCCTGAATAAAGTAGAATTTCCAGGTTGGACTAACCTGGATCTCCCACATCCCTTGTGTAAATCTGTGCATTTCCGTTCAGATCAGAGCTGAGGAACTGGCCTAAGGAGTCTGAGTACTTGCTTCTCACTGGTGCTGGCAATTCCAGCTCCCAGGAAAGCCCAGCAGCCTGCTTCTCTGTCAGTTTGCCACATGGGCTACTGGGGAGCCCTGCCATCTGGACTGCTCTGGCACCGGGGACCGCAGACTTCCAGGGTCCAAATTGCCAAGGCATCCCTACCACACGGTCTGCCTGGGTCCACATCTCCAGAGCATCCCCACTACATGGGCTGCCCCAGGGACCCCAGATTTCCAGGGCCAGTGTCTCAAAGGCAGCCCTGTTATGTCAGAGCTTCCAGGCTGCCTCCCATGGAGCCAGGACCCTGCGGGCTCTCCAGGCTTCCAAGCTCTCTGCTGTGGTGCCAGGAACCTGGCACTCTTGAAAGCCCTGACTCTAACTGGAGCTTGGCTCCGAGATCCTCAGCCTGGAGTCTGGAAATGCTGGGGTCTCTCAGGGTCACTGCCATCAAGCTGATAGCCTGGAGGTCCTGGAACAGGCTGCCCCATATGAGCTGCCCAGGGACCCTGGATTTCCAGGTTCTGCAGCTCAAAGGGTAGCCCCAGGGCCAGGGACCCCAGAGCTCTCAGAGTCCCGGGCCAGCTGCTAACAGCCACAGTGAAACTGGTATGAACATTTGGGAAATGCCATGGGTCCATGCTTCTGCACTGAATCTTTGTTCAGGATTTCCCATTCGCCAGCCATTCTGATAACATTTGATTCCGATTCAGAATTCAATCAAATGGCAAAATGTCTTGGCCAGCTCTCGTCCGGGCTAGCCCTGCTCCCTGGCTCTGCCTCCTTTCACGCACTCCAACGTGAAGTCAAAGGAAAAGGGAAAGATACGAGGCTCACATGCCGCATCAATTCTGATCTCTCAACACGAAAAGAATGCATTCCGTTTTCCTCCATCCCATTAACGTAGCATGGATCCCAGAGCGTTTATCTCAGTCTGTCCCCAGGTATCTGCAAACATATTCCACTGTGTCCAAACAGATGTGATGGGTCCTTGTGGGGAGGAAGACTAACCCCCATTGTACTGAATCTCCTTAGTGCCTTACCTGATTACTACGTCATATTTGTTGATTGCTTCCCCCATGGAGCTGTTTCGGAGCCGGTGTCCGTTCCCCACCACTGCACATCTTCGGCACGTCATGCTGCAAAAGAAAAGATAATCTCAACCAAACGCCCTCACTGCCCTTTTCATCTCTGGGGGATTCTCTCCCACTTTACATAGAACAGTTTAGTTCTTTACACATTTTTAGAGGCAACAAAACAGCCTCGACTCCTTGGCACCCTCTAGGGTCGAGCTTCTTGCTGCCCCGGGGGGTGAAGTTTTGCACGTAATTCTATGGCTTTGCGATGCAAGAGGTCAGACAAGATGGCAATGGACCCTTCTGCCTTAAGATCTATGAATCTGCGAGCACAGCATTTTTACCGGTGGATTCCAGGGGAAATGCAGGGGTGAATTCCCATTGCCGCTCTCCCTTGGCCTAGTCAGTAGGGCCATTTGTCTGATGTAGACACTTGCCCCCCCGCCACCCACTAGGAACTAAACTGAAATCACAAACCCATTTCACACAGACCCCTGAGTAGCAATGACACCCAGTCACTACCAACACAGCTAGATTCCAAGTGGAGACCCAGAGACAAGAGAGACCCTTTATCAGCACATTAGACTGCAAACAACACATGTTAACACCCAAAGAAGGTGGCAGGTGCGTATAATAAGCCCTCTGCTCAGTGGACAGCAGGGACTGAACTTGAGACTTTCATCACTAAAAGCAAGAGCCCTCACCACTTGAGCTACAGGAGTACCTCCTCTAAAGTGGCACAGAAGTAGGCTCTTATCCTCTTAGGTGAACTACACCCTTAGCATGAGTTACATATCGTTCCACAGGAAAGACACTGGCCTGGGATTCTGTTCCCTGGTGTGACACAGACTCCATGTGTGATCCTGGGTAAGTCTCTGCCTCTCTGTGCCCCAGTTTTCTCATGTGTGAGCTGGGGATGCCACCCCAGCAGCACAGGGAGGCTGTGAGGTCTAAAGAAGTTCCCGAGCCCGTCAGACGGGTGATACTACGGAAGTGCAGAGGCAGCATCCTCCCGCAGGCCCCAGGCACCATTCCGGCGGTAACGGCTGAGGTCGGCAGGTGAAAACAAAGTGCCAACCTGCCTGATGAGGAAAAGAAACCTGCTGGTTCCAGAAGCTGGGGTGGAAAGAAGCATCCATGTGATAAGCCAGCTCTGCAATTGGACCACTGTCAGAAAGATCTCTAGGCAACTGGTGGAAGCTGCTTCACCCAGTCAACCCAATTCTTCCACCAGTTCAAGCCACTTCAGAGAGATGACTCTGTGGCAGCAGCTTGTTTGGACCAGTTTCTTCCCTTCCACTGCTGCCTCCGGCTACCTGGAGAGCTGCGAGGCAAACGCCAAGCCGTTAGATACCCTCATAAAATGGGATGAGAGGTTGGATTTCATCCCAGAGCTCATAGATAGTGCACTGAAACGCAGGCAAACATAGGGGCTGAGCCTGCACACTGCACCTCCCCTAGCAAACCACAAACAGGCCTGGATGGCGCGAACAGCCCCACGCTCCAGCTCGCCAGGGTGCAACAGGGAGGTGGCTGCTGCTGCTCTAAAGCCGGCAGCGTGGCCTAGCGACTCGAACACCCCACAGAGTCGCAGGGATCCTTGGTTCTATTCCCAGCTCAGCTGCTGGGTGACCTTGGGCAAGTCACATCTCTCTGTGCCTCAGTTTCCCCGTCTGCACAATGGGGCGAGTGATACGGACCTCCTTTGTAGAGCTCATGGAGATCTACGGAAGAGATGAGCTAGGCGTTAGTATTTTATTGTGTCAGAGACAGGCCTCTAACTGGCCCAGCGGCTGCCTCTGCAGCATGTTCCGTAAGTCCTGGCTTGACCCCAGGTTTGGTTTTCCCTTCTGTCCTAGGGACAGCAGCCTCTGCCCCAACGGCCCAGCTGCTGGAGATGACAGCCACACGAGGAAGTATCTGGTTACACTGTTCAGCCCTGCACTGGAGTTTTGTTGGGACTCCTGAGATCTGGTTCTCGTTCCTGATTCTAGGTGGGCTGGATGCGTGGATCCTGTTCCTTTGCTCTGCTACAACAGTGCCCCAGATCTGCTGGGGTTGTAGGAAGGGGGTGGGAGGGGTCACTCACACTGTATTTATGACCCACGCCTCGCATGGTCCGCGCTTGACTAGCTCAGACAAGCAGACAGACCAGAGCAAGAGAGAGCCAGAGCTCGGCTGTCAGACAGAATCACGGGCGCTGCAGCGAGTCACCATTCCACAGCAGACTGACCCTGCAGCTCGTTACCCGCCTGCCAGAAATCAATGGCTTGTTTTGCCGTACGTCCCCAGAGAGAGTCCAGCAATGTACTTCATTTTAGTGCAAACAAACAGCCAGGCCGCTGGCTGGGGCTGCAGCACCATGACATCATGTCCTGGAGCACGTCTGTCAGCGCGGGGCTGGGCTACAGATCGCAAGTCTACCAGGGGCTCGGAAACCCAATCCTGCCATTGGCTGCCAGGAAGCGGCACACTGGGGGGAGGAGGGGTCTCATCCAACCCACTCCCTGGTGCACGTCATAAATCTGCTCATCAGCCTGGCATGCAGTTTGGCAACCTCGGCTCACAAGGGGCCCAAGGACTGGAATAGCAGCGGGGCTGCAGGGCAGGATTGAGGGGCGTCAGCAGAGACCCAAGGACTGGCAAGGCAGGGGGGCCGAGCCACATGGAGAAACTTGCCTGTGTTGGGCTTGACTCTGCCCACCCCTCTCTCCCTCTCGTCTCACAGTTCACATGGGGAGAGGAAGCAGCAGGAGAGGGGGCGTATGTGGGACAACGCCAGGGAGGGGAGGAGAGATGAGGCAGGGGTACAGATGGGGAAGAGATCTGGGCAAAGCCCCCCATACACACCAAGGGAAGGAGAATGGGGCAGTTCGGGGATGTTAGTGATCAAGAGGGCACCGGGGTGGGGATTGGCTCTGCGCTCCCAACACACACGGAAGGCCAGGGTCTCCAACAGTCCAACACCCCAGCGGACGCACTCACGCCAGAGGTATTTGTGAAAGGGCGCAGCTCAGGGCAATGGCAGCTCGTCGGGTGGGCAGGGCAGCCTACGTAGGAGACGGAAAACTCAGACCTCAAACCCCCCTCCATGGGTTAAAGCCCGGCGCTGGGCAGTGGCAACACTCCGTGCCACGTGCTGGCGGTCCACCAGATCTACAGCAAGACGGTGGGGAGACAGTGGGCATGCGCTTAGTTCAAGGGGGAGAGGCCCTCTCACTGCGGTGTACATCAGGGACACCGACTGATACGCTGAGTCTCTGGTGCAAGGGGACTAAGTCTGTGCAAGCAGTTTCTTCCTTTTGGCAAGTTTCCAAAGGGCAGTAGTAGATGTTGGTTCTAAGGAGAGGTGAGAGCGACCTGAATGCTTCTCCACCAGGAACTAAGGATGGGAGGACATCTCAGCCCTAGGGCAGGAGTTCACCCACTTGGCTGCTGGATTTTCTGGCAGCCAGCACCTGAGCTGTCCTCCAGAGGACTAGGGGCTGGCGGTCAATTTAGGATGAATGAAAAGTACCTGGTGACGATGGGCATGGGGGGAGAGGGTGATAGGAAAGAGACTCCCAGGAAAGAGGAGGAAGAGACGGATTGTACCCAAGAAGATGATAAACATGTGGACCTTCGCGCTGCCTCGGACAGACACAGATGGTGGATGTTTGCATGACAACCCAACCCCACCTGATGGAGAAGATGACTCCATTGTCTCTTTGTCTTGATCCAGAGCCTGGTCAGATGATTTATCAACATCCACAAGGGGACCAAGAAGGAAAAAGAGACACACATAGGCCAATATAAATGGACTTCAGCCTCCTTGGTATTCAGGCCAAGAGCTTCCTGTGTTCACTCGGAGAGGGGGCTCTGCTGGGTTTAAATCCAATTTTTGGTTCATCAAAATCTTTGCTAGGGATCTTCTCATCTAGCGTGAGTCCAGGCTGGCAGTAACTGAATGTCTCCAAATGCCACCTGAGCACCGGTGACCTACATGAAGTGACTCTGAAAACTCAAGGCCCTAGCCTGGAGATCCAGACACCAAATCCCTCGACTCACAGATTGCTCTAAGTGGCCCAGCAGAGAAGCCAAGGGCCGGATGGGCTGTGGGGCTTGAACCCCTCACAAGGGCACACTGGTATTAGACAACACATGGGGGGCAGAAAGGAGCTAGCCCTGCCACTGTGCCCTGTGCCTGACTGGTAGGTAAAGAGTAGACTTGAGTCTCCAGAGCTCTCAGTCCAGCCCCTTCCACAGCTCTGTGATGATCATTCACCTGACAATGGCAGCACGGGAAGAAACATTAGATGCACTGGAATTACCTTTGGATGCTTTCGGGCACCGAGTAGCTGGTGATCGCTAACACCCGAAGGAGAATGTCTTCTGCAAAGGAATGCGAGGGGGCAGTTAGTGAGATCAGTCCTCCCCAGAAGCCATGAAATCCCCATGTTAGGCACAAGACCCCAGGCTACCCCCATGCACCACATGGCAACCAGAGAGGGAATTCTTCTTTTGAAGGGCTGTTTCCCTGGGATCATCCCCTTTCCCACCATCAAAGTCTCCACCCCTATCCTCCCTCTGGACAAAAGCAATTGGGCCTGGCCACCTTCCACACGCAGTCCCCTCTGCCATGTGCTGACTGGCAGGGCTGGGGAGGTCAGGTAGAGAGAGAGGTCAGTGCAAGTAGCAAAGATGCTCTGAGCGCCCTCACGTCTTTCCCAGTAGACGGACCCTGCAGCACATACCGGAGCTTTCTCCTCGAGGCCATGGCAGCCACGCAAGACGGCTCATGAGCTGTACAGCAGGAAGGAAAGAGTGTAACAACTTAACAAGAACGGTTCAGTGCCTCTGAGGCTGGCAAGGGAGACAGAGGCAGCCATGAAGTATGGGCTGGATGAATGGACTATAAGGTGGATAGAAAGCTGGCTAGATTGTCGGGCTCAACGGGTAGTGATCAATGGCTCCACGTCTAGTTGGCAGCCGGTATCAAGTGGAGTGCCCCAAGGGTCGGTCCTGGGGCCGGTTTTGTTCAATATCTTCATAAATGATCTGGAGGATGGTGTGGATTGCACTCTCAGCAAGTTTGCAGGTGACACTAAACTGGGAGGAGTGGTAGATACGCTGGAGGGTAGGGAAAGGATACAGAGGGACCTAGACAGATTGGAGGATTGGGCCAAAAGAAATCTGATGAGGTTCAACAAGGACAAGTGCAGAGTCTTGCACTTAGGACGGAAGAATCCAATGCACAGCTACAGACTAGGGACTGAATGGCTCGGCAGCAGTTCTGCAGAAAAGGACCTAGGGGTTACAGTGGACGAGAAGCTGGATATGAGTCAACAGTGTGCCCTTGTTGCCAAGAAGGCCAATGGCATTTTGGGATGTATAAGTAGGGGCACTGCCAGCAGATTGAGGGACGTGATCGTTCCCCTCTATTCGACACTGGTGAGGCCTCATCTGGAGTACTGTGTCCAGTTTTGGGCCCCGCACTACAAGAAGGATGTGGAAAAATTGGAAAGAGTCCAGCTTAGGGCAACAAAAATGATTAGGGGACTGGAACACGTGAGTTATGAGGAAAGGCTGAGGGAACTGGGGATGTTTAGTCTATGGAAGAGAAGAATGAGGGGGGATTTGACAGCTGCTTTCAACTACCTGAAAGGGGGTTCCAAAGAGGATGGATCTAGACTGTTCTCAGTGGTAGCAAATGACAGAACAAGGAGTAATGGTCTCAAGTTGCAGTGGGGGAGATTTAGGTTGGATATTAGGAAAAACATTTTCACTAGGAGGGTGGTGAAACACTGGAATGCGTTACCTAGGGAGGTGGTGGAATCTCCTTCCTTAGAAGTTTTTAAGGTCAGGCTTGACAAAGCCCTGGCTAGGATGATTTAATTGGGGATCGGTCCTGCTTTGAGCAGGGGGTTGGACTAGATAATCTCCTGAGGTCCCTTCCAACCCTGATATTCTATGATTCTATGTACTTATAGATCAGGCAGCGGTGGGAATAAACAACATGATGCACTTAGGTGCCTCGAAGCAGGAGCACTGAGAAAGACTGGATAGAGCCTTCCTTAGCAGCTGTCCTGTTAACCTGCCCTCTAGCGTCAGCACTCACGAGCCCCAGGGCTGCTCCCAAATGCACTCTGTTCCTGCTTTCTTGGGCACCCTCTTCTGTCTGCATCCACCTGTTGTTTCTTGTCTTAGACTTAGATTGCAAGTGTTTTGGGGCAGTTTGCACAGTACCCGGCACAACGGGGTGTTGGGCCATGACTGGGGCCCCTAAGTGCTACAAATAAATAATGACAGCAACGACAGAAGACTCTCGCTCTCTCCAGAGGAGCCTGCATCTGCACCAGCAGATCTCTACCAACTATTAACACACAGCGCTGCCCAGAGCTTCCCCCAGAGGCTATACACCTCCCAGCTGCAGTGGGGTTCACCACACACATCAGCACCCATGGGGCAGGCAGGCAAGGAGGAGCTGGGAGCAACCATGTTCATTGGCAGATGGTGGCTGAAGTCTCTCACATCTCCACCGTCGGACCCCTCCCTGCCATCCACACCCCGAAGTGAACTGCTCCTGCCAGGAGTGAGGACTTGGGTAGATGTTCAAGAGAGCTGGCAGGTTCTCAACTGAATGCGCAACTGCAAACTATGCCAGTGCGAAGGAAAGACAGGAAAAATTAAGAGAGACCAATATGGCTCCATCAGGAGCCCTTTGATGACCTGAAAATCAAAAAAGAATCCTACAAAAAGTGGAAACATGGCCAAATTGCTAAGGAGGAGTACAAAAGAACAGCACAGACATGTAGGGACAAAATCAGAAAGGCTAAGGCACAAAATGAGTAACACCTAGCCAGGGACATGAAAGGCAATAAGAAGAGGTTCTTTAAATACATTAGGAGCAAGAGAAAGTCAGTGGCAAGCGTAGGTCCTCTACTTGGCAGGGAAAGAGAGCTAATAACTGACGACATGAAGAAGGCTGAGGTGTTGAATGCCTATTTTGCTTCAGTCTTCACTAAAAAGATTAATGGTGACCAGACACTCAAAACAATTAATATTCACAAGAGGGAAGGAACGCAAGCCAAAATAGGGAAAGAACAGATTAAGGACTATTTTGATAAGTTAGATGTATCCAAGTCAGCAGGGCCTGATGAAATTCATCCTAGGTACTTAAGGAACGAGCTGAAGCAATCTTGGAACCATTAGCAATTATCTTCCAGAATCCATGGAAGATGGGTGAGTCCCAGAAGGCTGGAGAAGGATAAACATAGTTCCTATTTTTAAAAAGGGGGATCAGGAGAACATGGGGAACCACAGACTGGGCAGACTAACTTCAGTATCTGAAAAATTCGGGAACAAATGATTAAACAATCAATTTGTAAGCACCTAGAGGATAAAAGGATAATAAGGACTAGCCAGCATGGATCGGTCAAGAACAAATCATGCCAAACCAACCTGATATCCTTCTTTGAAAGAGTTTCTGGCCTAATGAATGGGGGTAGCAGTGGATGTGATACATCTTGATTTTAGTAAGGCTTTTGACACAGACCCACATGAGACTTTCATAAGCAAACTAGGGAAATGTGGTCTTGATGAAATTACTATAAGGTGGGTGCACAACTGGTTGAAAGACCGGACTCAGAAAGTTGTTATCAATGGTTCACTGTCCAACTGGGAGGGTGTATCTAGCGGGGTCCCGCAGGGGTCAGTCCTGGGTCTGGTATTTTTTTAATGACTTGGCTAATGGAGTAGAGAGTATATGCAGATGACACCAAGCTGGGAGGGGTTGCAAGCACTTTGGAGGACAGGTTTAGAATTGAAACGGACTTTGACAAACTGGAGAACTGGTCTGAATTTAACAAGATGAAATTCAGTGCAGACAAGTGCAAAGTACTTCACTTAGGAAGGAAAAATCAAATGCACAACCACAAAAATGGGAAATCAGCGGCTAGGTGGTCGTACTGCTGAAAAGGATCTGGGGGCTACAGTGGATCACAAATTGAATAGGAGTCAACAATGTGATGCAGTTGCAAAAAAGGCTAACGACATTCTGGGGTGTGTTAACAGAAGCGTTGTATGTAAGACACAGAAGGTAACTGTCCCACTCCAGTCGGCACTGGTGAGGCTCGGCTGCAGTACTGTGTCCAAGTCTGGGTGCCACACTAGAAGCGAAGTGGACAAACTGAAGAGAGTCCAGAGGAGAGCAACAAGAATGATTAAAGGTTTAGAAAACCTGACCTAGGAGGAAAAGCTAAAAATCTGGGCATGTTTAGTCTTGAGAAAAGAAGACAGAGGGGACCTGATAACGGAGTTCAGCTATGTTAAGGGATGTTATAAAGAGGACCGTGGTCAAATGTTGTCCTACCGCCAGTGGACATGGAAAAGTAGCAATGGGCTTAATCTGCCGCAAGGGAGATTTAGGTTAGATAACAGGAAAAACTTTCTTTCTAACTCTAAGGCCAGTTAAGCTCCAGGATAGGCATCCAAGGAAGGCATCCAAGGAATCCCCATCATTGAAGGTTTTTAAAGCCAGGTTCGACAAACGCCTGTCAGGGATGGCGTAGCTTTACTTGGCCCTGCCACAACACAGGGGGGGCTGGACTTGATGACCTCTCGAGGCCCCTTCTAGACCCATGTTTCTATGACCCTATCTCTCCCTCCTGGAGGGGAGCCAAAAGCCGGGAGGGAGGGGAAGGAGAGGACTGCTGCCATCTCCCAGGAGCAGTTGCTAGGGGATAAAAGAGATCCACATCCGGTGTTGCTTGGGCACAGAGAGGGACACATTGCACACAGGAACCGGAGGCATATACATGACCAAAAGCAGTCACTATTACTTCCACGTTGCCAGACTTTGCGGGGTTATAAATGATGTTAAGGCTCCTACAGATTGGGACAGGCACCTTTTTACTATTTTTAATCGACATAAAATAGACTTTATTCACCTTTTTAAAAAGAGACTTAGTCATCCAGTTAGGGAGCAGAAACAGTATCGTGTGACTGACAACCACTCACGGATCATGGGCAACCAACAAGTTGCTGCAAACCGTTTGTGAACGCCCGACTGGCTGAAAGTTTTTCTCACAACCTGGGCAAGCAATCACCAACACCTTTGTAAGAATTCATCTGTTTGGGGGTAATTTCCTAGACGAAAACAGGGGTCAGCTGACAAGAAGTTATTTGCAACACGCTCACAGAAGGGCCATGCAAACCATAAGCAAGTCCAGGGCAGAGCCAAGAGGCCACGGGAGAGAGCAGATCAAGCCACATTGGTTAGATTGCAAGTAAGAAATAGGAGGCAGCAGAAGAGACAGAAAAAGCAGGTGTGAAGGGGAACACATTTCCTTTATTATGTGCCATGCTGCAATTAGCCAAACCCCAGGGATTGGTGCTGCAGAGCAGAGAAATCAGGTTTGCTTACCGCTTCCTTTAGTCCCATACGGCAGCTCATACGGCGACCGGTTCTTCACCCAAAAGTAATCGTTTAGGTGTAAAAACATGGGATGGTCCCGCGTGTAACTGCAAGGAACACAGAGCGGGATTAGCCAGAGGGACATGCAAACCTGAACTGAACTGGCATCTTCAGCTGACTTCACAGTCTATTCTCCGCCCTTGCCTCACCCCCAGAGCCCGCAGTGCCAATCCTCCCCCAGTTCCCACATGCCACCCATCCTCTGGGAGCAAAGAGCAGCCCTGCAAAGGCCCAGCTCCTGCTCAGGACAGCTACTCACTTTCCTATGAGCAGCGTGGCTTTCTTTTCCATCTCTCCTTGGGGACACGTCATTCCCACATCTTGCACGGGGAAAGAAAAACTGTAAGGCAAGCAGTGGAGATGGTGATTTCCCCAGCCCGGGCTCCGCCCACATGACGAGCCGTCCTTTCCACGTCCGGCAAGCAGGCGCGAGTCCACGCGAGGGCAGAGCATGTCACTGCCAGACAGTAACCGAGGGCTCGGGTCCCAAGTCAGCTCCAGGCCATGTGCTACTAGCAGACCTTATTGCAGGTCATCCTCGTGACAAGTTGCCAGAGGAGCTATGGCAGAGCCTGAGGGAATCTCCAAGTATACTAAATTAAGAATATGCTTTGTGGGTAATAGCACCCCTCTCTCTACTGACTGCTACATGCTCAAATACTAGGCTCTTAAGCCCACCCTATAGAGAGATAGCAGCATGCAGAGACGTCACTCACGTCTTCAGCTCTAGGCAGAAGCACCAAAGAAAACTGCCTGACATCTTTTTTGACTGCTTATCCTCTATACTTCTTCTTTAACCCTTCGGGTGCGTCGTCGAGTACAGGAAAAGGTGCATTCTCATATCCTGTGAACTAACCCCGTCGTTTAACTCAACCTCCTAACACGCATTTAAAACTACAAACAGCCTTCTCTGGGAGTCTACCTCATGTAAGTTATCAGTCTTAGCTAACATGGTAAGAATGCACCTTTTAGTGAAGACAAGGCTGAGACGAAAAGAAAAGGAGGACTTGTGGCACCTTAGAGACTAACCAATTTATTTGAGCATGAGCGTTCGTGAGCTACGGCTCACTTCATCAGATGCATACCGTGGAAACTGCAGCAGACTTTATATATACACAGAGAATATGAAACAATACCTCCTCCCACCCCACTGTCCTGCTGGTAATAGCTTATCTAAAGTGATCAACAGGTGGGCTCACTCACCATGATCTACAGCCCAGGTTTTTCAGGGTCATCCCAAATTCACCTTGGACAAGCACTGAGCTGTCCCCCAGAAATCATGATAGCTTGGGAAGGGGAACCCCCAATGCATGGTTATGCAATGTCATCACAACAAGACAGCACTTACTGGTGAATTATAATCGTCTTTATCCTGTAGGATGAACTGAGGAGGTGAATCTCACCAGCTGATCCAGACTAGATAGGCCTCCCTTTTATCTGGCTGGAAGCAGGGTCATTTAGCTATCCCCAACTCCAGCTCCACACTGTTCCTGAGATCGAGAGTGTGTCTCTTCCACGCACTGTGTCTTAGTCTCAGAGTGAGGCAGCCTGAAACCATCAGGAAAGGGCAGAAGAGAAAAGCCTCTTGCCCCCACTAAAACTTTTAAAAAGACACTCACAGATGTATGTACCTTTCTTCGCGGGATATAGAGTACCACGCCATCACCAGAAAGAACGCCAGCCCTAAGATCATCTTCCATCCTATGAGAGACAGAGGACACGCTGTAATGCTGGGACCACGGGGCTGGGACCACACAACATGCAACCCTCCCATCAGCTCAATACATGGACCTTGGTTTACATCCTTTTAGCCAGATCTCAATTCACAGGCAAAGCCAATTTGAATTCATTTTTTGAATAAGGTTTCATGGGGCAGCGTGTCAAATGCTTTAGTGGTGTGCAGATCAGTTCTCCTCCTTCCCCCGGTGTCTATGGTATAATGCCAGTTCCAAAGTAAACCGCTGGAACTTACAGGGCCAGATTCACGCCAGTCCTAACTAACCCTTCCCAAAAATTAAAATGTGAAGAAAATGCAGACATATTCCAATGGAAGAGGAGATGCAATTTCTGGATCAAATTCTCTTCTTCGCTGACGTCAGTGGAGTTTTGCCCATTTACACTAGCAGGGAATTTGGCCCTCTGGCAGTGATTTCTCATTAACCCTGCTTTCTCCAGAGCAGCAGCTGTTCCATTTTTTTTGCTGTGCCTGTATGGAGAATGCAACTAACTCTTTCTTTCATTTCATAGATTTTTTTGGGCCAGAAGGGACCATTATGATCCTTCTCCTGCACAACACAGGCCTGAAATTTCTCTCCCTCATTATTGCAACAAGCTCAGTTCTAGTCGTTGAGCTGGAGCAGGATTTCAGAAAAAGACATCCAATCTTCGTTTAAAGACTTCAGGATTATGGCAAACCCACCACAACCCTAGATAAGTTGCTCCCATGGTTAATTGCTTTCCACTTAAAAGTTTGCATCTAATTTCGAGCCTGAATTTATCTTGTTTCAGCTCACAGCCCACAACAGGTCTTGTTATGTCTGCTAGATTAAAGAGCTCTCTATTAGCAGAATTTTTCTCCCCACAATGGGGAATTGCCTGAGGTGATGCTACTGGGATTTGAACTTTTGGTTCCAATGGGTCTGGCCAATCAGCCCACCCAGGAGTGGTGGGTGAAATTTTGTGCCTTGCGTTGTGCAGGAGGTCAGACTAGATGATCATAATGGTCCCTTCTGACCTAAATATCTATGAATCTATGAAACTCAGCACCTCCCTCCTTCTGCTGGCACCATTAAACATCTAAGGAGCCTGCCCTTCTGCAGGGAGAAGTTGCCATTGTAGGATGTGCAACTCCTGCAGCACGTTACAGAGGGTGGCCCATGCTGAGCTCTCTCCCTCTCTCTCATATAGAGATTTTACCTTTAGTTTCCTTTTGTTCTGACTTTTCTCAAACTAGAATAAAAGTCATTCAGGCTCAAAGTGCCTGTTTGCAGGGTGTGTGGAAAAGTAACATTTATAATCATAGAATATCAGGATTGGAAGGGACCTCAGGAGGTATCTAGTCCAACCCCCTGCTCAAAGCAGGACCAATCCCCAATTTTTGCCCCAGATCCCTAAATGGCCCCCTCAAGGATTGAACTCACAACCCTGGGTTTAGCAGGCCAATGCTCAAACCACTGAGCTATCCTCCCCCCACAACGCATATTCGATCACTTGGGGAAAAATAAAGTTTGACAAGTCCGTATTTCAGTGCAAGGTGCAGCAATAGACCAACGTATCTGCTCCATCAGTGACTGGTGGGAGACTGAAGGTCCAATTCTGCAATTTAGGAGACTGAACTCCTCCATGATTTGAGGTCAACCTGTAGCCAGAATACAGGTCAAAGACACGGAACTGTCATTAAGAGCATCAGAGCTTACATTGGAGAAACTTGTTATGCTTCATCAGGCTACTGAGATAACTTCAATGTAAATTACTCTGACGGGGTGTCTGGTTGCCAGACCAGAGACCAGACTTGGGTTGGTGCAACAGGAGAAGAAAAGGAAGCCACATGCACAGAAAGCAGCTAAAGGGGAACAACAGCATGGAGCCCAGAGTTTGCAGTGACACATGATGTGAAAAGAAACGTCTGCTCAAGCAGCAGCCAGCACGAGAAACACACTAGAGAAGTGTGTGTCACACAAGAAGATGACAGAGAGGAAGCTGTGCTCATTGGTATAACGATGAAGCGCGGACGCCATTAGCACCCATCAGCAGGGAGGCCCAGAAATGGCACACCTGACCAGGTAAGGCTGGCGACAGGAGCACACAGCTGGGTTATGAAAGATAAAGCAGCTGGTGAAGTGTGGCTATCTGAGTCACGAGTCCCACCCACTGAATAAGCTCAGCCAAAGAAATATGCATCTGAGAGAAATTTATCGTTTCTGTGGAACAGACACTTCCTGCTCAGAGGCTCATGCTCACACGCTGTGAAACAGAGCAATCTGCCAAGCCCCTTAGCTGGCCCAGACTCTTATATCCGGGTGCAGCTAGTGATATGTTCACCTCAGGCTGGGCTGTTTAATCTAGCTTTATTGGTTTTTACAACCAAACTAGACCTGATCTGCCTGCCCTACTCAGCCCTTGCGTTCGCTCATCCAGAGTCATCTAACCAATCACAAACTGATCCCGGCCGACACACCCTGCCCCAGCCTGTCATAACCCCTTCCCTGGCTCAGTGTACCCTGCCTGCCACTGGCCAGCCACAAGAGTCTCCTCACGTCTCTGCCCACTAACCTAGTAGCAGCTGGTGTCCACGTAAGATGGGAGGATTTACAGCATTCCCCCCGCCCCCCATCACCCACCTACTACCTGTTTATATTTGCCCATCACTATAACATGTAGCTACCAAGTACAGGGAGTAGAAGCTCCAGCAGGGACCTCTGGGAATTACATCCTAGTCCAGTCTCATATGGGCTGTAGATTCACAGGGGGGTGCTTTTTTTATTTCCCCTTCTCCAACCCCCTGGTTGAGCCTGGTTCAACCACACGCTAGGCTCCAGCCAATCCAGGAGCCAGGAGCCGGTCTGGTGACTCTCAGGGCAGGTATATAAACTACTCTGGAGACACGCCCAGCTCACTTCATAGCTTGGAACCCTCCCCTGCCTGACAGTGGGGACAGACCACAGGCCTCAGCCTGCTCCAGCCCTCTCTGGGTCCAGCCTGGCTCCCAGCCCTACTCCTGCCTTGTGCCGATCCTGCTCTTGACTCCTGATTCTGGCTCTGACTGTTGGGCCCAGCCATCCTTGCCTTGGTTTCTGACACCCACCTTGTCCCTTCCCCAGTTTGGGGGGTTGCCATAGTGCTACCAGTCAGTATTAAATACCATTCTGTATATGAATCATCCATGACCCTGCAAACCCGTCTCAGGGAAAGAACGCAAAGCGACAAGGACTTACGGGACTTGTTGATCATTTTTATCAGCAGGTGAGGCGCCACCCGGTGGCTATTGCTCTCATCGCGGCCACTGCTGGTCACCTAGAGTGGGAAGAGGAAGACGCTTTGAGTCGTACCTGCCAGGCAGAACATCTGGTCACCCTGCACACATCCCTCCCCCTCCATGCTATGTGGCACTGAAAGTCCTGCCTACAGGTATTCAGTGCCACGGAAGCACTTGCATTAGTGTGGCCTGTGTCATAGTGATGATAGCAGTTAAGATTTTATGTTAGCAATCACACACACACACACACACACACACAGAGGCAGGCAGATGCTGATCATATATATCATCTGGTCACACACTCAGGGATTCAAAAGTGCCTCTGTGAATTAGGAGCGTAAGTCACGGTTGAAAATGAGACTTTGGAAGATTTCTATGCAGAGAGATTACAGATGGGTGTTTAAATTATACATGCCCTTCAGCACGAAAAAAATCAAAACCGTTGAAATTTCTCTTTGAAAAAATGTGTTTTGTTCCATATGAACAAAATGTATTAATGTTACAGAAACAGGACTTCAGATGTCCTACAGATGAGCTTAGGGGTAGTTCACAAATGTTATATGCCATGAAATGCTGTAGGTCAACTGTTAAGCACTTACTAAAAAAAACCCACCTAACTATACATATGCGCTTCTAATCCATATTCACATAACATTATATTGATGCAGCTGCATATTATTCCACAGGGTATTGTAGATAGAGGCTAACAACTGTACTTCACTTCCCATGGAATCCCTGATGCACAGTACAGCTAAACATAGATTATTTATGAGGTTCTGAGTTAAAACATGAAGAGTTAGAAGCTCAAGGCTGCACAGAGAAAGTTTTCCCCATTGAAGAGTTCTCTCCATGTTGTTATCAAAATAAATTAGATGGGAATACTTTCCCTCGTCCTAACTTTGCAGCATGGGGGTAAGCCACCTTCATTTTCAATTCACATTTTTAAAAAATAATTCCACACACACACACAAAGTGAGAGACAGCGACCACCCAGACTGACAGACTCTGGGTCTGCACCACGCACCAGATGGGCTTTGCAGCTCCTGAACCAAGCAGACAGCTGCAGAGCTGATGCATCACCAAGGAGCCAAGCAGATCAGACCGAACAGGCAGGCATTAAAGCAGCACACATCACGTCGGATTCCACGTACTCGGAAAGAACCAGATTCCTTTGATCCAGCCATCCACTTGGAAAGAGGCTTGGCTGGTGCTGTGTGTTTTCTAAAGACTTGTGCACTCACTCTGAGTTCTTCGGAAAGCCGCCCTGCGACGCATCGGGTGACTGCACCAGGGTGGAAGAGCTCAGTGGAAAAGGTTTGAAACCACCTTCCTAATGATCTCTTTGTGGTTAATTAAGGAAATATAATGAGCAGGCCTTCCCCACCCATGTACAGCATGTTTACTTTTTTCAGAGCAGGTGTCTACAAGCCGAGTGATTTTCAACAGCTCAGTCGCTTGATTTATTACTTGGGTTCCTGAATGATTCCATAATTAAGTCATGTTTCCTTGAAATCTTTAGGCTGCCGTGGATCTCCGCAGAGGCAGACACCCCTCTGGAGAAGCAGGGAAGGGTGCCAGCAAACCAGGCCAGGACATTCTTCCAAAATGACCTTGGCTCCATGCATCCGTCTTGCTGATCCTTAGTCACTGGCAGGACAAAGCTGAGCGTTCTCACATCCCTGAGCAGTCTAAAACTCTTCCAGGGCAGTGGGAGCCAGTGGTTAAGCTCTCCCCACTCCCTGACCACTCTAAGGTCAATGTTTACTTTGCCACACAATCCTCATTTCACCCCCCTTCCCACCTGCACTCAGCAGTCACCATCTTGGCCAGCAAAAGCCAAACAAAACTAATCTAAAGCCACCTTTATTCGGGGGGGGGGAGGCACCGCTTGTTACGAGCAATTCCCATCCTAAGTTGCTGGGGATATGCCACGAATCATTACAGGACGGAACAAATTAATTTCATAACCATGCGGCTCCTCAGAGCCTCAACACGCCCTGGAATTTATTCCCTCGCTAAGTGAATGTAAGTGCTGGGGAACAGGTGCCAAAAGGACAGGCTTAGAGAGGCTTTGTTCTTCTCTTTACCCCTGCACTGCCCCGTCAACGTGCCTTATCTTGGATCTAGAACCACCACATGCAGGGGAAGAGGATACTTCACTTGCCAGGACCCAATCAGCTGGGGTGCTGTGACCATTGCCTGTCACCAATATGGCCTCATTGTTTCCTTGTTCTCCCCTGTCTGGCTGTAGCCAGCCATTCTCTCCTGCCTTGTACTTACATCATAATCTTTCTGGGTCTGGGCCTGGCTCTTTGCCCTGTGTTCAAGAATCGCAGCGTTTTAAGAGCTGAAGTGATCACTCGATCATCTAGTCTGACCTCCTATATATCACAGGCCACCATCAGCCAGCACCCACGCACTAAACCCAACAGGTGAAATGACACCCCAGTATGGCTAACCTCAGGAGACTAAGCTATTGTGTGCAGAGAAGAGACGGGACCGAGGTGCACCAATGCCCGAGGCCCCATCAGTGGCAGAGAGGGGTAACTCACAGTCCCTTCCAGCCTCGGCCCATCTGCAACAGCCACCTCTTATGAGCAATCTCTTGAGCCTTCTGCTATCTGACCACCAGCAGGGCTGCCCAGGCCATCGATAAGACACCCGAGAAGTAACAAAGGACCAAGGGTGACCTTACCAACTGCAGGGGATTGAGTGTGCAGGACTCACCTACTCCATCCTAGCAGATAATAATACCTGCTTAATGCTCCAGAGAACAGCCCCAGAAAGTCTCTGCTGATAAATATGCCCTGGAATAAGATTTCCTCTTCACACCCACCTTGGACAGGAGTTTAACTCCAGCAATTGTCTCCGTCCGACTCTTCCCCACTCCTTACCTACATGGATTCCAAGGCCAAAAAGGACCATTATAGCCATCTAAGTCTGATAAAAGGCCACGCTGCTCCACAGCAGCGCTAGGATTGGAACCCACGCCCTCCAGTATCAAAGGCTACAGCCTTACCCCTTTGCCACCATTTCACCTACACCTGCGCTGCAAGGCCATTTTGCAGGTCAACAGGGTGCATGCCTACCTTCTGTCCTGCCCAGGCGGAGAAGATTCGACTCTTCTCATAGCCCATACACGCCATTCTACAGATCAACTGGAGGGGGCATTGCTGAGCAATGTGATACTTCACCAAGGAGCTGCCCAAAACCAGGGATTTCTGGTTCCTGGGACATGTCAATATTTTGATTGTTTTCGTTCCACACTTTGAATGTAAACTGGTTTTTTTTTTTCAAAATTTCCCATGAACCACAAATCTTAAAAAAAAAAAAAAAAAAGGTTTTGGAAATACCGACCCCAAACAAGACCTGCTCCCCAGAACCAGGGCAGCTGCTGACTGACAGTCTTGTCAGTTTCACTAGGGCTGTAAACCTGACAAGAAAATTTCAGTCAGCAGCTGTTGGGGCTCCTGGGGTCTGCAACTCTAGGGCAGGGAGTCTGAAAGTCCTCATTGTCCGCAGGTTCCCTGCTGCAGATCTGGGAGTCAATCCTGATTAGAGCTGGGGCTTTCAGGAACCCAGATCCACAGCAGTGAGCCTGGAAACCCTGGCATGGCAGGACTGCCTTGCAGCTCTGGACTCTAGGAAGGTCTGGGGTCCCCAGCCTGGCACTGTCCACAAGGCTAGGCTGCCCTGGAGCTGTGGACCCAGGAAGTGCTGGTTCCCCAGCAGCCCGCTATGCAAGCTGGCAGCAAAGGATAGAATCTTGCTTGGCAGGCAGGTTTCTGATAGACCAAAACCATTTTCACAGGCCATTTGGGGATCAACACATGGGCATTTGCCAACAAAGATGTTCAGAGTGGAAGTTCAGAGCTGAGCCCTCTGGCTGACATTACAGCTAGGCCACCACGGACAGTGGGCGTCTGCCTTTTACCCCATGTATTGTGTCACTGCAAATGCAAAACAATGCAGGAAGTGCGTTTCTGGAGGGGCAGGGTTCACTGCCAGTGAGTTTAATCTCAGCTGATTATACTCACCGGGCATTCAGCTGTGTGCCTCTGGACCCCACCCAAAAGGGTGTGCTCTAATTACCCACAACATCACTGCCCATCTGTCTCATTGCCCAGTGAAGCCACACAGCTGAAGGGAGTCTTTGCAGCTGGGTTGGATGCACCCTGAGCACCAGGGTGGATCATCCACCTAAAACGCTCACCAGGTGAGGAGATCTTAATATAGAACATTGGCACTTTTCTGCCACATTTCTTTGCTGGGAACTCACAGTGCTAACCAAACCCTAATTCTGCCTCAGCCCATCCTCAACAGTAGGTCAGCAAGAGTGTCCCCATTTTACAGTCAGGGAAAGTGAGGTATAGAAGTCAAATACCTAGCCCCAAGTCAGTGGGAGATCTAGAGACAGAACCTGGATCCTTGCCTTCCAGCTCCATTCTTTGGTCACTAGACCAGAGTCTTCCTCTGTAATCCCAACCACCCACACGCTGCACCTACTAATCTACAGCCATGGCAAAAAATGCTTCAAAATGAAGAATGGCATCAAAAAAGATGGAGGAACGCGTGAGGTTTGTTTTGTAAGTCGTTGTGCTACACAATAACCAATGATCGCTGAACCTCACCACCTAGGACACTGGGTTCAACCGAACCTCTACACATTCAGCTGCTTTGCACGACATTCCTGCTTCCCACACCCACCTGGGATGGAAGGTTCTCAAGAGCAAGGTTCAGCTTGCAAAATATCCCCTCCTCTTGCAGAGGCTGGAGACGTCACCAGGCACAAACCTTTCCATGGGATTCCCCCATCCTAAGAAAACTGAGTTCATGAAGCTGTCTCAAACGTCCCCTTTCCCACTCCCAAAAAGACCCAGAAGAGTTGGGTTCTTATTGTCCCAGCCTGGTTTGTTCCCAGCCCAATGCTTCCTCCACTGGATGGGATAAGAGCAGCTCCCGAGAGACAAGAACATAAAGATAGCATCCAGCTCTGTTGCACTGTAGCAGGTTGGAGATCCATGCACTCTGGGGCCGT